TGCTGATATCTTGAAACAGTAATAAATGTAGAAGAAATAAGTTATCTTCCTGCCTATTCCACACCTGTTTGCTGACAGGAAACCTGATGGTGGCACAAGTCCTAATTGATATATGCTTCCCAGGCAATGTTACCCATGATGCACTGTGTGGACCTGCTTGCTCATACATTTTTTCCCAAATGAGAGGAGGTAACAGGCAACCCTAAAATGATGGCATGTGACAAATATGAAATCACAAAAATTAAGCACAAATTTACATGGCACACAGGTTGGTACCCTACGTAAATGTGTGCGAGACAGTTAAGAAGCTAAACTGGACCTATTTCTGCAAGTAAATATACCAGATCAGCCAGAATGTGATATATATGTAGGCATGCAGGCATCTGGGTGTGTAGGTGTTATAGGCATCAACAAAGTCTGGTACCAGGTTGGACTGCCCACTCTAGAAACCAGTCACAGGTATGTCACAGGCATCAACTGAGTTACCAGAATTTAAATTCAGTATATAAGAATTTCATAACTGGTACTTGCTGAGACCTGTTCATTAAACACAACAAGCTGAGGGGGAAAGAAAATAAACTGAGGTGTAGAATACAGTGTTTATCCAACAAGATGAGATACAGGTTGTGAAATATTTTCTATTGACTAGCAATGAATTTAGGTATTCAGAGCACTGAAGTAACCTGTACATCTTTAGGATCTTAAAAGGAGTGATTAAAACACCATGATTACATTGAAAAGATATGACTGGACCTTACTTATTTAAACTGCTTGATTACCATGAGGCAAGTAACATATCTATTAGTTGAATAGATACTACTGTCCAAATAGTTTGCATATCTATGTACTAGAACTATAGTGCTATTCATGTTTTTTTCCCTGTCTCACATTAATCAGAATGAAAGAATAAAAGATAAACCCTGCATGAAGCACAATATGTTTGAAAAGTATAATTAAGCAGCTGTAAAGTGCAACACATATTTTAATAATTGCCCCAGCTAATAATTACCCCCTCTTTCTAATCCTGGAAATTAGGAGGTGTGGGGTTACCAAATTTATTATTCAGAAGGCTGAGGAGCGGTTGTTGAGGTGGTTTGGGCATTTAGAGAGGAAGGAGGTTCTGAGTGCTCGGGGCTTGGACACCCAACAGGGTTGTGCGAGTGTGTGCGACAGGAGTGGAGGCAAGTGGCTTTTATGATTTGAAATGCTGTTGGAGTGTGAGGAAGATAGCATTTATGAAAGGATTCAGGGAAACTGGTTTGCTGGAACTGAGTCCTGGAGTTGGGAAATACAGTGCGTACTCCGAAGGAGGGATAGCAATGTTGCTGTCTGGAGGGTTAACTGAACTGTAATGACAGCACCCTTCTGGAAAGACAGTGATTAAACAAGTTAGAGTGAATGTGTTTCTTCTTTGTCAGGCCACCCTACCTCAGTGGGAGATGGTCAGTGTTAAAAGAAATATGAGCACATTCTTTGGGTAAGAAGTGTGTATTTCTAACTAATAAGATACATTACCACCACCAAGTAAGCCAACAAACAGTACAATTATCCCCTATATAAAAGCCCATTCACATAATGTAAACTTGATTAGCAAACAAGGATACATAACATACATGATCAAACATGTGTCACTGGTGCAAGCTGGTTCACTGTAAAAGTGGATGCTTCTTGCAATTTAGGTGCCATATCCTGACTCTTTCCCATCAACAGTTTTCACACATTTTCCAGAACCCCTTCTCTAAGAATATGATTTGGTAGATTCCTGCAAGCATTTGCCAGCACTGATCCTGCATCATATAGTCTTGCAATTATAGACATTAGTATCTTTGACAAATTTAGGGAAATGTATCACCAGTGTATAGTAATATCAACACTTCTGAACAAGTGTGAGGCATAGTTCTAAAATGATTCAATGTAGTGGAGATGCAGTGTTAAGAGATTAATGTATGGTACAAATATTTTTCAGAGAATAAAATATGCAGCTATTAGAAGATGGTGTTGTAGTATGAAAGGCCATATGATTCATTCAGAAAGGAAAGAGTAAATGTTGCAGATCACAGGGTTATTGTATTGTAGTCACTGTATTTATCACATCAGAAGTTAAAAGTTGCCCTGTGTGTATACTGTGTTGTTCAAGTACTATGGGGTTATATTATTTAACAAGCAGGAAGATGATGATAATCCTGTTTGTATAGTATAAACAGGCAGAGTTTTTTTGCATTTTGGTTGTTCTTGAAGTCATTCACCACATGCAATGAAATTCAACACCTGAATACTTTTTTATTTCCTCTAATAGCCACTCCAATTTCTCAGCATTTAAAGATTTGACTTACATATTTTTCCAAAACCTACAACATTGTGAATAACTGAAGAGACTTAATGTAAACAGACAGATCAATTATTTGAACCACTATAAATGGAGAGGCAAAGGGACATCTTAACGAGTAGAAACAAAGATTCCTCTCACTGCACATTATTAAAATAAGAACTCAAGATTTTG